TCTACCTCCTCTACCTTCTCCCACCATCCTCTACATCCTCCTTCTTCTACCTTCTCCCCCTCCTCTACCTCCTCCCTCCTCTACCTCCTCCGTCGTCTACCACCATCCTCTACCTACTCCCTCTTCTACCTTCTCCCTCTCCTCTACCTCCTCCCCCTTCTCCCACCATCCTCGACTTCACTCACCACCTCGATCACTTCTCTCACTCACTCACTCACCACCCCAATCCCTCCCTTCCTCCCGCCTTCTCTCACTCACTCACTTACCACCTCGACCCCCTCCCTCCCTTCCTCACCACCTTCGCCCCCTCCTCCCCTTCGAATCCGTGAATCGAATCATTCGATCCGTGAATCGAATCATTCGATCCGTGAATCGAATCATTCGATCCGAGAATCGAATCATTCGATCCGAGAATTGAATCATTCGATCCGTGAATCGAATCATTCGATCCGTGAATTGAAGCATTCGATCCGTGAATGTTATATGTGATAAAATCTACCATAAAAAAATCGAATTATGAAACAAAATACATGCCATACAATAAGCGTCAGAGTGGACTTGTTCGATAGGCGAGTCTGACATTGACTGAACTTCCAGACTGGTGTTTTAAGCGGGAACTGATCAATACGCTTTTAGCGAGCATATTTGGTCCCTGTTGTCTTGTACGCCATTACCGATAGAGGTTTTTGTCACTACCGACATTAAAGTAGTTTTAGTTTAGTAGTAGTAATAGGTTGTACCAGTAGTCAGCAACCAATATATATTATAGTATTAATTCGAATGCTACTGGGTTTTATGATAGACGCTTCTATGGTCCACTTAAACCATTTTCAGAAAATGCAGGAAGACCGAAGGCACGGCGAATGTATCTCCTAGCTTCAACTCCGTTGCATCTAGTGAAAGCGGATCGCTTTACTGCTTATGTTAGGGTGACCACAAATTCGATTCGGTTTTAATCGGCGATGGTCCATCGATTTACACTCCATGCATCGACGATAGACTCTTTACAGAAGCTTTTGGCAGCGCACTTACTGTCTGCACTATATTAGCTGTCATCTTGCTTTTTGCTACCTCGACAATCTTTTTTGTTGTCTGTAGGATCATCGCTGCACACGAGTCTCTCCATGTCTCCCGATAAATCTCATGAGCTACTCCATTCAAAACTAAGCGCATGAGAAAAGAGTGGCGCAAGTTCGAATAAAAACAATGCATTATAAAATGAAAGCAATACGTTCGTGAGCGGCAGAATATACTCCAAGCGGTGGACTGATTTTTCAAAATTTATACTGTTTTCGTGCTACTAAGCTAATCGGGTTCTAATGTGTTTCTATGCTCTACGCCTATCCGAATTTATGAAACATTATGTAGATCTGCTTACATCGTCCCGTCACACTAGAGCTACGCTCATCACGATCGCCCCACGCTCAAAAAATTTGCCCGAGCGTGGTGAGAGCGTAGCCAATTGGGCCCCAGCCGGGCAGCGCGCCGATACTACGATCTAAGGACGCCACCTCGGTGTGACGGGGGTATAAGTGCGTCTTTACCCCGATCTCATTGCGCCCAACAAGCTTTCACCACACTCAATACCACGCTCAACACACACCCGCATCACGCTTGCACTGCGCTCACTGCGTCTTTATTGCGACCAATCAGATCGCATTGCGTTCGAACGACGCTTGCACTGCGCCTAAGCAACGCTCACCGCGCCTCAACTGCGCGCCAGTCACGCTCCTTGTGCGACTTAATCACGCTCTAGTCAGGCGGCGACTGCGCTGGCAACGACCATTTAAATACCATGGCATCCACCAAAGCCATGAGCACCACGGAAAAGAAGCCCTTATAGGTATGATACAATGAGCCAGAGTTCGGTGGGCATCTGATGGCCACATGTTTTCCGTCGATGGCATCGCATGCATGGGGCACATTCCATTTTCTCAGGAAATCTTCGGCAATGGCATGCCATTCTTCTGGCATCGTAGGATACGAAATGACCTCCTTTTTGTGTTCTTCTACAATAGCCTGGTATACCTCTGGAACCAACAGCGATATGGTGTTGCGGGCCACTCTGAAATCATACTGAAGTGAGGGATATGGTGACTGCCAGTTTCAGTCCTGGTTCAAGTGCTTTTCTGTATCGGGTGTCCTGCTTCTGGATTCTCGGCCCAATTCTGACAAGCAGTTCATCGAACATCTCCGGAGGCATCCTCAGGAAGTTGAAGAAGGATGCTTGATCTTCCATGCGGAGCTCAGCCATGAGGCGATCATAGTGACCATAGAGAAGTCGTCTTTCTACCGAAAGCCACGGACGCACCCAGCAAGATCTTTGTTGTCTTCTATTTCTCCTCCTCGTCCTCCTCAGCATGATGAGGGCTTGGCAATCAAGTAGTTCGCTTTGTCCTTCTACGAGAAACATGGCATGGAGTAGTGTTGCCTCATCCATAGTGGACACTGAACTGGTGGAGTGGCCAGGGTAGCACCCGAATTTATACCCCAAGTTCGCAGGACGTGATCTGAGCGTGGTATTGACGCAACTAACACGTAATGCGAACGCCACAACGGCGTGGTCTGAGCGTGTTGAGCGTAGTACAATCGTAGTACGAACGGGTAGAGCTTGCTAGAGACGCACCATGGTCATAGCGAGAGCGTGGACAGGTCGGAGAGACATCTCCATGGACGTAGTAACAGCGTGATGAAAACGTATTGACATCGTGCTGAGAACGGGGCGACAATTTTCACGCACCCGACACGCTTGCGATACGATCATTAAGTTCGTATTACGCTCGAGTTACGTGGGTACTACGCCTTCCACGTCTCTAATACGCCCGCACTGCGCTGTCTCCCACCACGCTCGCACCACGATTGTTCTAAACATGCTCAAAGTTTGGCCACGCTCTCCACGCTCATGGTGACTGCACCGCGCTCGATCGCGATCGCAGTACGTCCATAGACGTTCATACTGCGTTCTACACGTTTCCACCACGCTCTTATAGCGTAGTACGAGCGTAGTGAGATCGGGGCCATGGTGTGACGGGCATGGCGTGGCGTGGTGTAATAGGCGTTTGATTTCACGTGCGTTTGTGATTTCCGGCATGCGCATGCACCCTGACGAGAGCTAAAATTCCATTTAATACAACCATAATTACCACTAGTAAAGATTCCGCCACTGGCCGTTCTTTGTTCCATACTTTGCACTACTTAGTCCATATGCATTCTACCGTTAGTTATTTTTGTTTACTATTTTATATCTATTCTAGGTGTGGGAATTCCGACGCCTACTTCCGTTCTGATCATCGAACTGCTTAAATGTGCATTTAGGTTACTATATTTCCAGTCAGTGACTGATATGTACATCCTCAATGCTTATTTCCGGCAGTTTCCCTCTGTACGCACGTATAGCATAAATGGCTTGAGGAAAACATCGCGTGAAAGATTTGTCGGCTGATACTGAGCGTACCAGTCTAAATATAGAGACTGCTTTGCGTCAAGGTCGAGGTCAAGTGGCATCACATCTGTTACTTCTTTTCTGATTTACATGCACGTATAAACGAACGGTGACATATGAAGACATAGATGACTAAGAAAACAAGCGACTCTTTAAAGGCATAATAAGCCCATTGCTTATGCAATGTTGACGAATGCTAGAGTAACTGGCACCTTACATCCAAACGCGTATTAGTTTGTCCAATATCACTGCTGGTCACTAAGAAATGTCGAATTGAAATCCGAAGTCCAAATTAAAATCAGTTGTTTACAGTTTCAAACCGCTGCCGGGGAAGCGGGTGTGATACAGATTTATAGTGCACCGGACATTTTCGCACGCATGCTCGTCCGTACGCAATGCAATCATCAGTGATTTCGCAAACACGGACCCTCGTGATAAGGAACTTTTTGTCAGGGCTATCCACGTGCGTTCGTGATTAGTACGTGTGTTTTACTCCATTTCCATGTTTAGTCTGCGGCCAGGGTTACACCGCTGACACCTCTATTTCATCTGGCATCCAAAACATACAGGCCGCACAAATATTTACGTCATCGCTTGACTCCTGGACAATCTGCAGCCGGATATCCGCGCGAAGCGCGACAACGCCGTAGTAGCGGCAAATTTCATCGGATTCGCTGCCCTGTTTAGAACACTTTCCACAGTGCCCTTTGGGTAGAGGATAAAGCCGCATAATCAGTCAATTGAGCAGTTGTGGCGATTCCACAAGCCTTTTCACTATGCACGTAGGTAGACATTTAATACAAATGCTTGTAATTGTTCGTTGGCTGGTCGACGCGTTTCGTTTTTCTCTAGAAAAGCGAGTTTGCATTTCTTCCGTTTCACGCCGTAAAACTATTCTCGTACATATGGCGTCCCAAGGATGGCGCGACGAGGCCCTGTACGAGGCATTTTTAAGGTATTTTTCTACACAAGGGTCGGCCATTGAGCTTAGACTGCTGCCCGGTGGAGAGTTCCACACGCTGCACTAACTCTAAGTTGAGTGTAGCCAAGGATACTTGGCGGAGTGAAGGTCCGTACCAGTCTAGCTGCAATCGTTACGTGCGCTTCAACTTACCGTATCCATGTTGGTACCCCCAATGGTCTGATGTTTCCGATGATGACGTAATAGTTAGAGCATGTATCCTGTGCAGCACGGGCGGCCTACACAACAAATTGTGTTTACGCAGGTGTGCACTCACTCTCAGGGTGATACAATTGTATC